TGGATTTGGCGGTGCCAATTGTCACGTCTTATTGAAGAGACCCGACGAAAATAACAGAAAAAGACCTGTCAATGACCAAGCTATGTTAGTTTGTTACAGCGGAAGGACAATCGAATCAATGCAATCCTACAGGAACTTCTTAAAATCTAAGAATTCTGATTACGATTCAGCAGCTTTGATCCACTCGATTTACAAGTAATTATAAAACTTTAAAAAATAATTCATTAAATTTACATAAATTGTTTATACCGCCAAATTTCAAGTCCTTCGGCCAAGGAGTCTTCTCTGTCACCACTTTAATACTACCATCTACAAGTGCTTTAATATTTTTATTAGGTTTATCGAAGTTTATATTTGGTGGTATAATTCCAGTTTCCATCGCAAAAATTAACTGAAATTTGATAGTTTTTTCTTATGTATAATTAGAATAGTTATGTAAATATTAGATCTCACTTTTGTGATGCCGCAAAGACCAGAAGCAGGTTCGGTGTGACCTATATTGGATTTGCATGATCCTAAGTGTAACGCGTTTTTTCTTCCCGAACAAAAGAAATCGTTAATGCAGTTCACTTCCAAAGGATCTCCAACAACTGTGCCTACAGAAAAAAATGTTAATGGTGTATTATAATTAATTTTCATAGTATTTACCAGTTCCATGAGCTTCAATATAAGCAACAGACGTTGGGGAAATGTTTGCTTCTTCATAGACTTCTTTGAAGAGAAGTGAATAACCATCACCAGATGGTTGCAATATTCCTTGTTCTTTATATCCATCTACATTTGATTTACAATGTACGACTTCTGTATAGATTCGTTTAGCAACTTTCTTTTTTTGCAAGAGAATCATAACGATCGCCTCAGATCTAGTGAAACCATGAGCGTTGTCATCAAATGGTCTGCATTCTGCTTTCATGTTCAGAACACCTAGTCTGCAAATCAGAAAATATGTTAGTTCCATTTTTTTTTAAGTATGTTATGAAGTTCAAGTACCGTGCATATTGCAAAGTAGCATTGGGATTGAAGCATAAGTTTGTTCCACCCACAATAGCCATATCACATTTTCCTTCGCAAATTGACTTGTAAGCTTGATTCATAGCTTCTAAACTACTGCTGCATGCTGTGTCACATATCAAAGAAGGACCTTTTAGATGTAAAGCGTAGCTTATTCTTTGTGATATCATTGATTTCGTACAGCTGAAGAATGATTCAGAATCAATTATTAATTTACTCATTAGTTTCCATAAATTTACCCTACGAGACTGTAACCTTGCGGTTTTAAATTCTTATAACAGTTGATTGACTCAGCCTCCGAGTAAAATGATCCAACAAATACACCAGTTCGCGAACCTTTAACGTCTTCAGGACTCATACCTGCATCAGCAATAGCTTCGTATGCACTTTCTAAGGACATGCGAATAACGGGGTCCATCTCTTCGGCTTGATTTTGATGGATACCAAAGAAACCTGTATCGAACTTTTCCGGTTGATTTATTTTCCCTGCTAACTTTGGAATCTCCGGATTGGTGTGCTTCCAACGTCGTTCGTCGTCATCGCACATATTCACCTTGTTCATCAAATTTTCTAAGTACTCCTCTATATTGTTACAGTTGGGGAATTTTCCGGAGATGCCTACATCATATTTAT